TGTAGGCGATGCGGATCCCGGGGCGTTCGTCGCGGTAGGCGTCCATCAACATGGCAGAGAACATAAGACTGAAGAGGGTAGGCGCCAGCACACAGCCCTGCTTCACTCCGTTGGTCACTGCGAATGCCTCTGAGACAGCTCCTTTGTCCGTGACTCGCGCCATCATACCGTCGTGCAGCTGGCGTACCATCTGGGTAAATCGCTCCGGACAGCCGAATTTCTGCATGATCTTCCACAGTCCTTCACGATTCACCGTGTCGAGGGCTTTCGTCAGGTCCACGAAGGTAGAGTATAAGTGGGTCCGCATCTCCTGACACTTCTCCTGAAGTTGACGTGCGGCGAAGATCATATCCGTGGTCCCACGATGACGACGGAAGCCGCATTGGCTTTCCGGCAGAAGGCCCTGTTCCAGATGGTTATTGAGGCGGTTGAGCAGGATGCGAGCGAAGATCTTCCGGCGATGCTCAGTAGGGAGATGCCGCGGTGGTTGTCGCAGACTTGGCGATTCCCTTTTCGCTTGTAAAGGTGCACGATAGTTGCGTCCTTGAAATCTTGCGGGACTTCACCTTGACGCCACATCTCCTGGAAGAGCGCAGTCAGGTGATCCATCAGTAGGGGACCTCCGTGCTTGTAGACCTCAGCAGGGATTGCGTCCGATCCGGGTGCTTTCCCGCTGGAGAGCTGTTGCACGGCCCTGATCGTTTCATGGAGAGATGGCGGGAGGTCGAGGTCCACGTTGTTCGCCACTTGCGGCAAGCGGGCGATGTCGGCGTCGGAGATGACGGAAGGGCGGTTGAGGACGCCTCGGAAGTGCTCGGCCCATCGCTGTAGGATTTGCGTCTTCTCAGTCAGAAGAGTGCTGCCGTCGGCGCTGAGGAGAGGAGCAGTGCCCTTCGTCGGCGGACCGTAGACAGATTTGATCGCGGAGAAGAAGTTCTTCCATTCGTTGCGGTCCGCGTAGTCTTGGATCTCCTCAGCTTTGCGAGCAGTCCAGGCGTCCTGCATCTCACGCAGTCGTTGCTGAAGCTGTCTGCGACTGCGGTAGAAGGCAGCTTTGTTGCCCTCAGTGGGGTGCTCTACGTAGGCTTTGTGTAGGCGGTTCTTCTCTGCAAGCAGATTTCTGATGGCGGCGTCGTTGTCGTCGAACCAGTCCTGGTGTTGGCGGGGAGCGCGACCGAGGACGGCGAGCGCCGTCGACTGGATCGTGTCTCGCAGTTGACACCAGCGGTTCTCCACGGAGGCGTTCTCGGCAGCGGCGGCATCGGCGATTGTGCGGTTGTCTAGCCGTTGAGCTAGCTCATTGCTGAAATGGAGACGGTGAGCAGGCAAAGACAACAAAGCAACATTCAGCTTACCTGGGGGTCGCTTACCTTGTGGTCTCCTGCGAGGCTGTAGGCGAATACGCATCTTCGATATGACGAGGCGATGGTCGGTCCACCCGTCAGCACCCGCGATCGCCTTCGTCACCAGCACGTCCCGCTGATCTCGCCTCCGGACGAGGACATAGTCCAGCAGGTGCCACTGACGCGACCGAGGATGCCTCCAGGTGGCCTTCTCTCGCTCCGGCAGACAGAAGAACGTGTTCGTCAGGATGAGGCGGTGTTCTGCGCAGGTGCGGAGGAGAAGCAGGCCGTTGTCGTTGGAGCCGCGGAGACCAGGCACTCCCCTCCAGGCAGTATGGTCTGTGCCGACGCGGGCGTTGAAGTCGCCAAGGACAATCAACTTGTCCGCCTTCGATACAGTCGCCAAGAGGGCGTGCAGGTCCTCGTAGAACTTGTCTCTTGCGGCGGCGTCGGGGCTGCTCATCGGCGGAGCGTAGGCGCTGATGATGTTGGCGAATGTGCCCCCACCCTGGAGAGGCAGACGGAGGCTCATCAGGCGATCGTTTATGCCCTGCGGCATACAGGACAGTCGTCCCACGATGTCGTTCCGGATGGCAAAGGCAACGCCCGCGTCTCGTCGCTCTGCCCTGGGTCGACCACTCCAGAAGAAGGTGTAGCCGGCACCCACCTCCTCCAGTTGGCCTTGTTCGGAGAATCGGGTCTCGCTGAGTGCGGCGATGTCCACCTTGTAGCGCGCCAGTTCTCGTGCCACTAGCGCCGTCCTCCGTTCCGGTCGGTTGCTCCTCGGATTGTCTAAAAGGGAACGAACATTCCAGGCTGCCAGAGTGAGCGGGCTCACCCTGCCAATCTGGCGACTGCGGCGGCGAAAAGTAGGAGTAGGAGAAGAAGAAGAAGAAGAATAGGCTGGAAGAGGAAGAGAGTGATTGTTGTTGTTGTTGTTGTTGTTGTTTTGATTTTGGCTGTTTCGACCGTGTGTTTTTTTGTCTGCGGCCACGGCCAGCCTACAGACAGCGTGGTTCCCAGCGATCTTTAGGGCACCTTTTCTAGCCCCCCCCCTCGCGAAGGCAGGCAACGCATCCCTGAACAGGGCTGCCCGGTTATCCCAGACGGCTGCCGGACTCCACTATGGGCCACGACTTTTTGTTAGTGAGAGAACGACCCGAATTAGCCTGGGACCTTAGTGGTGATGGTGATGTGGTGGAGTGAAGTAGGAGAGAGCATACACACTACCTAACGCTATGGGACTTACAGCTAGTTAGAGTGAGCAACAGACACAGTCATCAGACAGAGACAGAAGTGAGAGGGCACCATTCAAGTGTCAAGCACCGTAACACATAGCTATTAGCAGAGAGTGGCATAAACTGACAGACAGACAGTCGCAGCAGGCATCGTGGGTTTCGTCTAGCTATTAGCAGACAGACTAGCATACAGAGTGCAGGCAGCAAGAGCAGCATACGGCACGGAACTTCAGCAGACAAAATGAAGAAACAGAGCAAATGCACTTACCTGAGGAATAACTTACCTTGTGGCCTCCTGCGATGGTCCAGGCAGAGCCTCGTCTCGACGATGTCGACGCGAAGATCCATCCGGCCAGCGCAGACCACAGTACCGCGTGTGCAGGTGCACGCACGGATATCCTCACCTGGTTTAGCCCGCCGGTCGAGACGGTTGCCCGGGGTGTGGCCGCTGAGCAGACCTCAGCTACGTGGAGCCACAGGTGAGAGTTGGGTGCCAGCAAATGGACGCTAGGCGTAGTCTCACCTGCAAGCAAGTGAGCGACCACTACGTCCATCACGTGGACCCACCGCTGACACCCCTACACCCCACACACACACACACACACACACACACACACACGACGACAGTTCGTCCGTCGATTTCGACGATGACCACCGTGTGCCCCACAGACTGCATTGTGGGAGCAGGGACGGTGACTTGCGCAGGGGTTTATAGTGCCAGTAGACTTGCGCTGCATCTACCTACACTCTCTCCTCCTCCCCCGCCTGGGCCCGGTGTCAAGACAGAGTCAAGAAGACCGGAGACGGGGGAGGCCGCAGGTGGATGGCTCGGACGGGTCTTCGCCTTGGCGCTCCACTCCGCACCCCTGGTCCACACACCAAGACCAGGATTTTGACCACAAAACAATGGGTGGTGACAGTGATCCAGTTGTGCGACGAATGCCGACAACAGGGTCCGCCAGCTCACCCAGCAAATGTTGGCATTTGTTATTGCGCACAGATAACGCATGCCAGAGTCCGATGTGGCCCCCGTGTTGGTCCAGCGCATCTAACACGTGGCCCGTTTTGAGGGCACACACACACACACACGACAGTTCGACCGTCGATTTCGACGATGTCCACCGTGTGCCCCACAGCTGCAGCAGCGGTGGGAGCAGGGACGGTGACTTGCGCAGGGGTTTATAGTGCCGGTAGACTTGCGCTGCATCTACCTA